AGTTTATTATTAGTACCTATGTATTATGTATTACCAGTTAAATAGTAAAATAAATACATATAATGATAAATTAACTGTGGATTATTTCATTTACGTTGCGTTACGTGGCTTCCATGTGGGTAGCTCGCTGTTTATTCCAAAATTAACAAAGTAGCTCAACACATTGAAGAGGTTGGCGACCACTGATCTATACAATATTCCACTCGCTAAATTCGAAAAAGATATTGAATGTTTCAATTCCTAAAAATGGAAAATTATTATATATGTCCAAAACCCGTGAAGACCTGTTCTCTGAAAAATTCTCTTTCAATATTATCAATACCTGACCTGAGTAGATTGTTGATATAATTGAGCCTTTCATGTGTTTACATTAGCTAGATCTTGCCCAATTATCACAATTACACAATTCAGAGTGAATAAGGGAAGATAGGTACTTAAAAAGATACTATGAAAGTGAAACTCAAACTCAATCTGTCGTGTCAATACTCTACAACTTATCCAATTTTTCTACTCACCTCTGTAGATCATTATTGCTGACGAATAACTTTCCCAAGTTGGGGACCTCTCCAAAACCCATCAACTTCTTCAACTTGTTCCTTCTCAGGTTGAGTTCTTGAAGAGATTGGAGGCCCTGGAGGTCTTTGTTTCCAATGGATCTAATTTGATTTCCAGCCAAATTAAGAACCTTCAGATCTTTCAGATTCGTGAGACCTTCTACTTGCGATATTTGATTGCCGTGGAAGTCCAAAACTTCGACTTTCAGGAGCTTCTCCAGTCCTTCGATCTTTTTTATTCTGAAATGTTAGTTTTATCAACAATCTAAGTTTTTGGCTTTCTACTTCAGTTAAGTTGATGTGAATTCGAGGGCAGTATGATATTTCATNCAGGGAAGCTATCGAAATCGAAAAGCAAGGCCTCATCAACAAAAGGGATGACTCACTAAACATCCCAAGGATTTGGAAAACAATAATTTAAAACAACCCCCAAAGACAACCACAAATTGATAATGAACCATCGCAGGTAGGAGAACTGCCAAAAGCCATCAACAACCCTCAGGTGGTATAATCGAGGTACAGAACAAAAATTTCCTCAGATTGAAATCAAATTGAGTAATAAATCAAAATGTTTAATTAATTTGTCGAAAAAGTTGTGCATTCGCCATTTATTTAAAAAATTTCAATTTTACACATATTTTCTTGAAGTTAATAGAATCTGTTTTATGGATAAAAATAATGTTTTCGATTAATTTTGCAAAACTTAGGGACGAAGTAAACAAAACAAAGTACTAATTATGAAAAAAGTGGACAAATCTAAACAAATTTTATTATTTTCACAGATTGACATTCGCAATTTCTTATCTGGACGAAAAGTTCTCTTAAAAATTTGTTGGACCTGATTCGAAACTGAACAATGTTTCACAAGTTGAGGAAACCGAGTAGAATACAGAAAAATTAAAATCGTTATAGAATTTGGTGGATGAGTAGGTTCCTTCGCCATTTTTTCAATAATCTGAAAAATGGCCGGAATAGGAATCAAATTATGAAAAACGTTTAGTCTATCTTCTGATGATATCATTGTTTCTTATATTGTTTCAGCAACGAATTTTATTGTTTTTTTGTAATGATTTTATATTATTTTCATGGGAAAGAAAGGTTTTGGCTTTCTACTTCTCCATCTTCATTCAGGAAGAATGTGTGAATCTTCCGAAGAAAGAAAACAATTAATTTCAAGATAAACTCATCTGTAACCTTCGATCCTTTCTGGAATTTGTCACTCCCCGTACCACAAAGAACTGGCCAATTGAGTTTATCAGAATGCGTGAATTTCTTCACAAGAGAGGAAACTTTAGATGGACATGAAAAACCGACGTATTCGAGTTGCAAGGAAAGTATTTTAGTCATTTATTTCAAAAGATTATCTCTAACAAAACGATTTAGAGGCAAGCTAAATGTTGCTGTCGAATTTCCTGTAGATGCAGCAGACAATGTGACTCCTTGTCGTTATAATCTATATGCACTTTCAAATCACAGTGGTTCTACTTACAGCAGACATTAAACAGCATTCTGCAGACATCCCTATACTGGCACGTGTCATGAATACAATGATTCCACGTGTCACCGATTTCACAAAAATCGCTTATGAGTGGAGATGCATACATTCTCTTTTATGAAAAAAAGAAAACGACTTCACACCTTTGAGCTTTTTGAAAATTACTTTTTGAACTGTTAATTTTAATGTTATAATGAATTGTAGTGATATATGATATTAATTTTTGTCGTTTTTTGTAAAACATTCTTATGACTTCATTGTACAGTCAACAGATGATTTTTATCATAAATTGGAGAGGAATATATACCTTACAAATTTTTTAGAACTTACGGAAACCGAGTAGTACTGAATATCAGGAAAATTGAAATTGTTGTATAATTTGGTGAATGCGTCAGTGCCTTCGCCATTTTTGGCGGTACAGGAATCCTTATCTGATAATAAAAAAGAGTTAACCAAATTATTGTTTTCAATAAAGAATGTTGGAAGTGGAAACAGAATAAGAAAAAGTGTTTTTGTACAATACAATTCGATGTTTTTATAGAAGTAGTTGTTTCGACAGGGCTTTTTCTTGTCCAGTCATTTTGGGGGTTTGCCTATGAAAGTGGACATACCCAGCTATAAATTTGTATAAACTTTTTATTTTGGCATCATGAAAGTATTCTCGAAATTCAAATATGATTCGACGGCCGCAACTTCAAAAATTGGGGGTCAAAAGTCGAAAAAAAGACTTTTTGCACGTTTTTTGCCAATATCTCGTTTCCAATGGGTTTTATGCTAACTGTATTCGTTATCAATATTGTAGAAAATTAAATTATCTACAACTTTTGTTTCAAACATTTTTTCATACGTTGAATCGTTTTTGAGATAGAGGGCAGCGCGAGCGCAGATTAATTATTTAAAATCAACTGGTTGTCCCGATCGAAATCAGCTCATTTAAGGTTTATAAATTGAAACTTAATAAA